AAGATGTAATCAGTACCCTTTGTGATATTTGCCTATATAAGTCTGATGTTTCGGCCAAGAGGGCACTACGAGATTTGGAGAGCATTTCCCACTCGTAGTCCCGGCTTTGAAATAAATGTGGCTCCTTAATTCGACTTCTTGAGGCGTTCTTGTGTGATTCACGGGGTACAATACAACAACACGACCATTCCCAAAGCTCCTACACTTGGCAGTACCCAATTCAAGACCACCAATGGGTCAGGGCCTAAAAGAGCACCCCTCCCCCCCTTTTACCTTTTGAAGATAAATGTCAGATTTTTATAAAGCCTTCTCTCTTGGCATCCCTTCTTTGTTCTTTTTTAAACTAGCCACACTTGACAATATTAGCATTGAAAAGTCAAATGCAGAATAAACTGCAAGTTCCCTCCATGGCCCACCCTCATGTTCACATTAGGGTAGGTATGTCCTGTCCCATTTTAAATGCAATTCCCGCCCCTCTCTGTTTCCAGCATTGGTATCCTCGTGGCTTGTAAGGAGGGTCAGATTCGCAGGCTCACACACGCCTGTGGTTCTGACAGATCCAGCCCAAGGCAGCGGCCCCTACTAAGAGCCTATAATTTCTCCAACTTCAAAATTACGATGAGGCAAGCCAAGCATACGCCATCCAAAGCTCCATCTGCCTGAGAACAAACCACTGCAGAGTCTGCTGAGTCTCCTCAACCTAAACACAAAGCAAAACTTTACATTCTCTGACACTAACATTTTCCCTCACTGCAGAGGCCTCCCAGCAGCTGGGGCCGCAGGGCTCCCCCTTCATCCTCCGGACATCCACTCCAGTGTGAAATTCGAAGTGAAGGTCATGGAGGCCCAGAAGGCCATTTCCTTCTTCTGGGTGATGGGGAAGTGGTCAGATTTTGCTACTAGTTGTGGCTTCACAAAAATCAACTTTCCTCAGTCTTCAGAGCAACTTTTCAAGATTTCACTTCAAAACAAGAAGCCCCTAGCCCCTCTCAGGTCTTCTGTTAGCGTGCTCAGATCTGGACCCTCCCCTGGGGAAACTCCCCATCGTTCCTCTTCTTCCCTCATCCCTTTGATGGGCCTGTGAACAGTCCTGCTCCCTCAATAACTTACAGCGGAACTCATTGAGACCTGGGGTAAAATCAGCCCTGACCCACTTCCTGATATCTTGGCTTTCATCTCACCAGCAGGAGCTCTGGAGAGTGAAGCTCAAAACCACATAAAGCAGCCCAGCCAGTGTAGCTCAGCAGTTGAGCATCAGCCCAGGAACCAAGAGGCTGCCAGTTCGATTCCTGGTCAGAGCACATGCCCGGTTGCGGGCTCGATCCCCTGTGGGGGGCATGCAGGAGGCAGCCAATTGATGATGTTTCTGTCTCATCTATGTTTCTTTCTTTCTTTTTTTTTTTCATCTATGTTTCTATCTCTCTATCCCTATCCCTTCCTCTTTCCCTAAGAAAATCAATAAAAACACATTTAAAAAAACAACACCTGCCCTGGCCAGTTTGGTTTAGTGGATAAAGCGTCAGCCTGCAGACTGAAGGGTCCCCGATTCGATTCTGGTCAAGGGCACATGCCTCGGTTGCAGGCTCAATCCCCAGTAGAGGATATGCAGGAGCAGCAGTCAATGATTCTCTCTCATCATTGATGCGTCAATCTCTCTCCCTCTCCCTCTCCCTTCCTCTCTGAAATCAATAAAAATATATTTAAAATAAACAAACACATAAAACAAAGCACAGCAAAAGCTTTAGCCATTCACTTCCCAGATGTCTGTCTACTGCTGAAGGGTGGCTGGGAGGATGGGTGGTCAGGAGGAGTGGGAAAACAGAAACCTTAGGACACAAAGAAATAATGCCTTAAAAATGCGTTTAGACAAAAGAATATTTTTAAGTCATGACAACAAACTCAGCAAACACGTTCAGCATTCCTACTAGAGACAACTGGAACTCGAATGGGCAGCAGAGGCTCCACCAATGGAGCACTTGGGGCCACATCCAACACTGCCCATCTCTGCACCCGCACAGCAGTCACAGGTCTGAACCCCGCCAAAGCCAATGAGCAACCCAGTCCAAGTGGGGGCAGAGCTGGGATTTGCAGCCAGGGCCGTCTGATTCAAAATCCTGTGCTCTTTCTACCAAACCATAGTCGACTTGGACTGACTGCCCTCCTCTGCCCACCAACGGAGCTGCTGCCCCAGACCCAAACTGGTGGTACAATTTCTGCTGCCCCCCGTCACAACCTCCATCGGGCTAAATATCACAATTCTAACGAGGTAGCAAAGTTAACTTGGGCAGGGCTCAGCATCCCACCAGAAAGAGGGGCGATAAAGACCGCCTAACGCAGCTGCTAAGAGGACGTAGCTGTGTCTGGACCCTGCTGGTTCGTCTCATGGGCTGGAAAGAAACCTGCTCCTCTGTAAACTCCTGCGGCCGAGAGGATGAGTGGGATGGGTCAGTGGTGTTCCAGGAAGTGAGAACAGCAGCAGCAGGAAGATTTCAACGCCCACTGGGAGGAGAGAGAAGTCACCCAGGCCCGCAAAGGGAGAGAGCATGAGGCAGGAGCCCTACAGCTTGGCTAGCTCGAACTCAGGAACTGGAAACAGCTGTTTCCGCTACTCCATCTGCCCCGAGAGGGGTGTGAACTTCTGCAGCCAGCCAGCCAGGGCATAATCAAGATTTAAATGGACCTATTATTCACACCCTTTGGCTCCTGTCTTTACAAAAAAACTGTCCCACACAGGACTGGACATATACTAAATGACAAAACGAGGCTCTGAGAAAGTTTGTATTCAGGGCTGAGCAGGCACGGATGCTGACAGAACTATTTAAGTGACATCTTTTAAATATAGGGTCCTCAGCTTGCAAAGTAGGCCAGTGGCGGGACTTGCCATCTCCCTTCCCCTCCCTGGCCAGGAAAAGTAACATCTATATTTACATTCGGGAGCTAAATTGTAAGAATGAAAGTTTAAAATATATAAACACAGTATTCTGTGTCATTCCTTTTTTGTTTTTTCATCCTCACCAGAGGATGTTTTTATAATTTTGAGAGAGAGAAAAAGTGACAGAAAGAAACATTGGCATGAGAGAAACATCAATTGGTTGCCTCCCATACATCTCCCGGCCAGGGGTCAAACCTGCAACCTAGGTACCTGCCCTGACCTGGAACTGAACTTGTAACCTTTTGGTGTATGGGATGATGCTCCAACCACCTGAGCCGCCGGCCAGGGCTCTGTGTCATTCCTTTAAATGAGACTGAGACATGGGCTCAGCAGACAGCACCATGTTCCAGAATGTCACCGGGCCAACCAGACTGGTCAATGGGACAGGCAGCTGGGAGGTAGAGGACAGCTGTGTGCACAGCTGTATTCCCATCATCTCCTCCCTCCAGACACACAGTATAGAAGAGGGTACCTCGCTCTCTGGCCAAGTCCCAGCTGCAAACAGCGGGCCACTGATAAGAGTCCCCATCTTTATAGTTGTACTCTCTGTCCTCAGCCTTCACTCTCTTGTGCAAACACTATGGGTGACAGAGGACGCAATGCCACAAGTGTATTGCCTGCCTGCTGTGTCAAGCACACTGAATAAAGATCTTTGGCATAAACAAAAATAGGCAACTTATTGAGATGCTTTGTGCCTTGTTCCCTGGTTCCCTGAAATGGGGAGAGAACAGTGCCTTCCCTCTGGTGACGGCTGGGGGGATTATGTGAAGCAATAAACATACCTGGTATAAAGGTACTGTACAGAGTCAGGTGTGCCATTTCTGAGGTTTGGTTTCAAATTCCCAAAGCCAGTTCTAGGCAATGAGAACCAAAGCAGAGGAGGAAACCCAAACAAACAGCTCTGTTGTCAAACTATTTCCCTGAAACCGGGGCCCCTGCTATTAATCTAATAACATCCCCCACCCCACCCCTTTTCAAAAACAAATACACCTTCCAATTACAGACAAAAAGGAGCAGAGTGACATCACAATAGCTGGCAAGGTTCTAAAGTCCATGTGTGACCCCTGCTGGCTGTTTGACCTTGGGCCTTGGTTTGCTCAATAAAGATGGTGCTTGAACCACATGACTGTTATATGGCATAAATGAGACAACACAAATATAAAGTGCTAACCACACTGTAAGCACTTGCTTATTGGCTGTTATTGCTCTCGTTTTGAATCCTGGCTGGTGGCGGGGAGAGAGAGACAACAAATGGGGGTGGTACAACAGTTGTGAACCGCCATCTAGTGATGGCAAACCTTTTGAGCTCGGCGTGTCAGCATTTTGAAAAACCCTAACTTAACTCTGGTGCTGTGTCACATATAGAAATTTTTTGATATTGCAACCATAGTAAAACAAAGACTTATATTTTTGATATTTATTTTATATATTTAAATGCCATTTAACGAAGAAAAATCAACCCCAAAAAAATGATTTCGCGTGTCACCTCTGACACGTGTGTCATAGGTTCGCCATCACTGACCTAGACCTGCGCCCTGGAGCTGGACGGCATCGGAAACTAGATCAGTGCTTCTCAAACTGTGTGCTGAAGGAGCACTTTCTGTTGGCTTTCCCCCCAATCCAACCACGTGGGAGTGCTACTGTGCATAACCAGTGTGCAGCTTATTCCACGTGCAACTCTCCACGCTAGTGTGACACACTCGTCCCGAGCGTTCGACACAAATCACAGCACCTCCTCTCAGCTTCTATACTTTCCCGTCATGGACTGAGAATCCTTATCTAGACTGTTCTTCCCCCTTCTCCTCAATCCCATTCAGAGAGAGAGAGGAACTGGCCGTGGTTAGCAGAAAAATCAATCCCAGGAAAAATCAGAAAACTCAAGCTCAAGGGCACATGAGGAGCACCCAGAAATAAGGCCGAAAGAGAGAAAAAGAGGGAACGGCAGCAGCACAGCCCAGCTGGCACTGAACACCTCCATGGTCCCCATGTAGGGACAGGATTCACTGGGCTCCAGCGGGGATTTCAGGGTGCAGCTCGAGCAGCCCGCCCTCCCCGGGGGCTCCCTGACCTTGGGGCGGTCCTCCTTTCTCAGAGCCACGGCTTCCAGTTTGGCTTCGTACTCCGCTTGCACTTGGTCCCTCTTCTTCAACACGCTCTGTGGGAGGCAGAAAGGGGAAGCATGTCACACAGAGTTCACAGCGGGGCCTCCAAGCCCCAGGGACTGTGTCTTCACCCCATCCTCCCAAACCATGGCGCCCAGGCCCAGCCACGTGCTCCTGGGACAGCTTGGCTGTGCGTGACATGTGGCATGGACTCTGCAGGAGGCAGAGTTTTTTTTGTTGTTATAAACTTGTTTACTAGTATTAATTCATGCAAACATTTTCCAACTGGGGAAGAGAGAGGGCAAAGCTGGTACAAAAGGCCTCCTAAGCCATGAGCTTAGGTCATAGAGAGATTAAAGACTTATCCCCAAACCAATTCCAGGAGGAAACAATAACAATGTATAGAAACATTTTTTACTATATTTGAATAAAATACAGTCTTACCCATAATTTTCAAACTGATTTTCCACTTTAAGGAGAGAAGGAGAACCATTCTGAGACAGCTTTCTAGTGAGATAACTTGGCCCGACTCTGAAAGTGACAGGATTCCGGGGAAGGGCAGGTGGGGTGACCAGTGCCCATCCATCGCCATGGTGATGAGAGGACTCTCAGCTGAGAGAATGGTGCTGTGCAGAAATGTGGAGCTTGGCAGGTGACAATGTACGAGGTTTTCTGAACTGTTCATGGAAAAGTCCAAGCCAAGAGAGTTGATCCCTGGCAGACTGATTAGCTTACTGATCCATAGCCATTTACATGTCCTCCATGCTAGGCCTGGTATACAAAGAGCCAAGAGGTCCAGTCCCTACCTGAGGGGTTCCGGAGTGGGGAGAGGTGCAGGCACAGTGCGAGACTGCAGGTGCTCCATGAGCTGTGTGCAAGTCCAGGATGTCCAACAGCGAGCCTGCCAGAGTGAGTGGCAAATGGGCCCAAAGAAAGGCAGCAGGACGGAGCTCAAGTGACAAACCAGGTGCTCAGGATGCAAAATTGAAGGAGACGCTCACCCATGAGCGTGAGTGTCTCCCTAGATCACGGAGGCCTGGCTCTTCCACTGAGACACCAACAGGTAGACCAGAAAAGCATGCAGTTGACATTCTAGGGAAGCATCTGTTTCATCCAAGGGTTTCTCTTTTCTCCTTTTCATAGAATTACAATGGCAAGCTAACAGTGGTAAGAATGTCCTTTCCCACTAATTCCAAAGTCACGTTGCTATAAAAGCTCCCAATCTTTCACTTCTCCCCAGTGTGGGGACGTTCCAGCAGAGTGCGAGGTCGGGCAGGGAGGAGCGGTTTCTTGGCTAAGCTGGGGGGTGGAGGGGCAGCTTGTGTCCCTGACAACGTGCTGAAAGGTGGTGAGTGACTCCATGGCTGAGAGCACTCTGGGGACAGCCTTGGAATGGAAATTCAACACCTGGAACCTTAAGTCTTCCCCCGAAGTAAGAGTTTATTGGAGATGTGTTTCACCGTGAGAAGAGACCACGAGGTCAAACCTGCAGTGGCTTATTTTCCATTGTTTGCCGCTCATCTTTCTCCTATGTTCTCGGGAGTTCCCTCCCCACAGTCGTCAACCTTGGACAGAGAGATTTCCAGCACTGCCTTCTAGAATGTTCCGCTGCGAAGGGCATGTTCTATAATGTAACACAGTAGTCACCAGCCTCATTTGATGACTGAGCTCTTAAAATATGGCTCGTATGATTGAGGAACTGGATTTAATTTTTATTTAACTGTATCCGATTTGAATTTAAACTTAGTCACCTATAGCGATTGTCTGCATAAGACTAGAGAACCACAAAACAAAACAATCAGGCGTCCTTTCTGGACTTCATAGAGCCCAGGAAACATTCTAAATGCACTAGTCTGGTACCAGCAGCAATAAAAATCACAGTCTCCATCCCAGAGATATAAGCAGGATGCTGTCCTTGGAGACACACATGTGGTCCCGAGGGGCAATGAGACAGCAGGGAGGGGCGCTGGGATGCTGATCACTGCCACGGCCTGCCTTCATAGGGTGCCTCACACCTTATGGGAAAAAGCACACATACCTAGTCGAGGGGTGGGCACGCGGATGAGTGGCCCCTGTAACACATCCTCGGTCAGTGTGGCCAGAAGGGGAGGGCTGGTGAGAGAACAGCCCCGGCGCCTCTCCTCGCCCTGCCCCACAACAGGCGAGGGCCCCAGGGTTCAGCCACACTCCCTCCCCTCGTAGCTCGGGCCTTCCCTGCCCTCTGTCTGCTCAGTCACTGTCACCCTTGCTTCTCCCGAGGCCGGAGCACTGCCTTCTGCAGACTGATATCCCCCCCCCCCGCCACCCCCACCCCCCCCCCCCACACACACACACACACAAACACACATCACTGGGCAGCAGGAAAAACTCACAACAACGAAAGCCGCAACCACCCTGCAGGGCTGAAAGGGTACTGTCCCATTTTCTATGGAGAAGGCGAAGGTCCAGTGGAGGGACCGGCTGAGGCAGCCATTGGTTAATGCCGTAGTGCTGACGCACCCGGGGTTTCCCAGTCTGACTGCAGGCCAATCACAGGAAAGCTGGGGGAACACGTTTTGAAGCAAGAGAATCTGTGTACAGCCACCATCCCTGTTCAGACTGGTGGTGATGGTCTGAAAGGACTGCTCCCCCACCCAAACACTGGCTCTGGTGACAAAACTGGTCAACCAGCCTGTGGCTGATCAGGCCGCACCCTGCAATGGGGTGAAAGGGACAAGAGAGCAAGGCGGCATTGGCAGAGAGGTGTCCCCATCACTGAGTGACAGCAAAAGGTACCCATCCTCTGAGCTTCCCACAGAACTTCAAAGGGACCTATGCATCCAGTGACACCAGAAACCAGAGCGGTGGCGTGCGTGTGTGGAGAAACTTTCCCCGGCACCTCCTCTCCACAGTCGCCCGCACCCCGTTTTTGTGCTGCCTCAATGTTTCCTCATTCGCCTCCCAGCTGCTGGGGATGCAGCAGAGAACAGAACCACAAAACCCGCTCCTTCATGGAGCTTACACTAGAGGGTGGGTGGACAGTACACAAGTAAAATATATTCACACAGAGCCCATGAGGCAGTGCCAGGTGTCGGGAGGAAAGTGGAAGAGGAGAGGGGGGTGTAAAGTGCCCAGGGTTTGGAAGATGACAGGATTGTTCACAGGGTGGCCAGGGAGGGCCTCGGGGACAACGTGACTTTTAATTCACAGCATGGAATCAATCCCTCTTGAACCCTGTATTTTTTTTTTTAACCTTGTATTTTTTTTTTAATGTGGAGCAGTTCATCGTGATTTCAAAGTGTTCCCAGTAATATGGAATTTCACTACCTTATTTTCAAATACAGAGAGGGAAAATGACTCCGTTTCTTTAACAAATAAATTGCAAGGAAAAATAAATAGATGAGGAGGGATTTTGAAAATATTTGAAAAATGTATGGATTTTATTTGGATCCCAATTTGGAAAAAATATATAAAAACAGCATCTGAGGCAACTGAGGAAACTGAACGCTAACTAGATATTTGAGGATAATAAAAAAAGAAATTTCTTTAGGTGTGATGATGACACGGTTCTTTGTTTTTCAAAAGAATGCTCGGATTTTAGACATATGTACTAAATGTTTTTGTATGAAATAACATGATATCTGGGATTTGCTTTAAAACAACACAAGGGTGGGAGCTGGGAGGGGGTGGGAGCAGAGTTAGAACAAGATGGACCATGAGTGGCCAGCTGCTGGAGCTGGCTGATGGTACAATGGGGAATTGTTATATTTTCACTCTACTTTGAATATGTTTGAATTTTTCTATAATAAAAGTTAAGCAATGGAAACATAATACTTGTCATCCAAGTGTTTCATCGAGAAACTAATCACAGTCATTATACTACAATGACAAAAGTGTCTGGGAGCTGGATTACAGATACCTTCTGTGGTTTGGCTTTCAACATCTCCACTGGATTCTGTCCAAGAAAGTGCCACAGTGGTTAGTATCGACCGGAAAGCTCAACACTTCCCTCTCCATCCCCAGTGCTCATGCTCATACCTTCCTCTGGGGCAGCTGTGGGCTCACAAACTTGTAGGGGGAGAAAGAGGCAGTCCAAAACTAGCCCCAATGCAATAGGTGAGCAGCTATTAAAAACAAAACAAAACAAAAAAAACACCAACCTTCCCAAGTCCAGAAGGTTTTTAAGCTCCAACATATTTGGATGCAGGGTGAGAAAGTACATGAAGCAGCAGGGACAGCTTGGCCATGCGTAGAGAATTAAGAACAGAATGGTTCATTCTCTGGTCAGGGGCTGACAGCCCAAAAGACCCCAGAGGAATTCATGTAAAATGAGTGTTTAGTATGAAAGAAAGAAGCGCAAGTGCTAATAAAAATCAAATACCGAACACAGCCCTATAGCCTGTTTCTGGGTGGCTCTCTAGGAGAGCATTTACCTACAGGCAGGAAAAGGAGTCTGACTTGGTACTGATAACATCATTTATGATTAAACTAGAGGCACAGTGCATGAAATTCGTGCATGGGTAGGGTCCCTAGCGGCTGCCGGCCTCCCTTCCTGTGGCTGGCCGGCCAGCCCTGCCCTCTGGTCAAACTCCCAGTTGAGGGGACAATTTGCATATTAGGCTTTTATTATATAGGATGATTAAATTTAAGTTGCCCCTTTCAACATGCTCCTTTTACACATTTATTCTATTGAAAACAGGATCACCTGTGAGTTCAATGTTCTAGGACAAAGTTGGTAATACTGGAACCATATATTTCCTCCTAATTTTAAAAGATAGTTGTTACAGAAAATTTGGAAATTAAAGAAAAATGTAGAAAGGGGTCAGGGGAAAGCATCCCTAAATCTCATCTTTCAGGCACAAGCGGTAGCACATTATGTCTTCACTTCTCGTCTCTTATCTTGAATGACTTCTTTGATGCTCTCCAATGTCCGTTTTCTCTTTTTGGCACTTCTGTTAGTTATTCAGATGTTGAATTTTATAGTCTAGTCCTCTCGTTTTCATATATTTTCTCTCCAATCCTCAATCTGCTTTTTCGTTTCACTTTATATGTGATTTCCTTAATTTTTTCTTCT